CAAAATTCTTTGCTAATCATCACCAATATCTCATGCTCTAAAAGTAGGCATACCTCAACTCTCTGACTGGGGATCTTTTCTCTTCTTCCTCTCCACTCTTTCTCTTGGTGACCTTGCACTCGTGTGGGTTCATTTACCATCTCCATGCAAACGACTCCCAGACCTTACTTACAAAGCTAGCTCTTAATCAACTACAGGCATCATCAAATTTCTTGTGGAAATCTCAAACTGGATGCCTTATACACATTTCAAACTCCATATGTCCAAAAGAAATTGAGCTCAATATTTTTCACTTCCAAACTTTCTTATTTCTGTTAAGTGTACCTGTCAGTCAATAACCATTAAATGCTTAATATGTACTAGGCACCATCCTTTTTTCCAGTCACCCAAGTCTGCAACCTCAGTCACCCTTAACTTTTCATTGTCCCTCACCCCACATATCCAGTCAGTTGCCAGTCAACTTTAACCCCATATCAGCTCCTGCATCTGTCTACTTCTTTCCACTTACCCAGCCATCACTGATTCAGAGTGCTCATCACCTCTCACCTTGACTACTGCAGCAGCCTCCTAATTGCTGTCCTTGCCTCCAGTCTCCCTTCTCCAGTCCATCCTCCAAAGAGCTATCAAAGTGATTTTCCTAAAACTAGGACTAGCTATGTTACTCCTCTGCTCAATAAGCTCCAGCAGCTCTGGCACCAGGATCAAATATAAATGGCACTATTTAGCAAGAAGACACGAAGAGCCTTTTACAACCAGGCTCCAGCTGATCTTTCCAGGCTTTCTAAACATTATTAGCCCACTTTCTACAATCCAGCCAAACTGCCTTTTTTCCCCCCATTCCTCATACAAGACATTGCCTTTCTTCCATATCCATTCCTTCACTTCCATCTCTAGCTTCCTTCACAGCTTAGCTGAAGTTCCAGTTCCTCCATAAGACCCTTCCTGATCCCCCTCATCTGCCTAGGAAACTTAGACCCTCCACATTATCTTGTATTTACACGCATACAAGCTGTAGTAAGCTCACTGATAGGCAGAAGTATCTTCAATACCCAGCACGGTGCCTGGCACACAGTATGTGTTTAATAAATGTTGCCTGACTGACCGAAGGCACTAAGCTATGTTCTAGGGGTACAGAGGCCAAAAAATAAGAAACAAAAAGTACCAATTCTGAAAAAAACTTACCATCTAAAGGTGTTCCAGGGGATTCCCTAGCCCTCATATCAGGTGAAACATTTAAGTTCTCTGGCAAGTGAGATGTAGATTATGGTTTGATAAATGCTTTTATAAAAAACTATGCATTTTAAACATAAACAACTGAGATCAGGTTCTCTACCCATTTTTATAGCTGTTATTAGAGCTTTCAGTCTCAAATCAGTTTTCCTATTTAAAAATCAAGAATAACTTTTTTCATCTATTTTCCTCACAAATGTTTTGAAGACTCCACTTTTTGAGAGAGCCAGCAGGTCAAGAAGACCTGGATTCAAATCCAGTCACATCCTTACTAGATTAACCCTGGACAAGTCACTAATTCTACACCTCTCTGGTACAGGTCCTCATCACCTCACGCCTAGACTGTTCCAGGAGCCTGCTTGGTTGGTCTTCCTGCCACAAGCCTCTCTCCATTCCTGTTCATCCTGCTCCATTCAGCTGCCAAAGTGGTTTTCCTAAAGTGCAGGCCTATGTCACCCCCACACTCAATAAACTCCTGTGGCTTCCTATCATCTCCAGGATCAAATACAAAATCCTCTGTTAGGTGTTCAAAGCCCTTCATAACCTGGCCCCGCTTATCTTTATTTTCTTACATGTTATACAGTCTCTACCACCACACACTAGTCAACTCAGTGGCTTCCTTTCTGCTCATGAACAAAACACTCAGTCTCCTAGCTCTGGGCATTTTCTCTGGCTATCTCTCTTTGCTGGAAATGTTCTCTCCTCATCTCTGCCTCTTGGCTTCCTTCAAGTCCCAGCTAAAATGACAGCCTTTTCCAATCCCTCTTAATTCTAGTGCCTTCCCTCCAGCGACAGTTTACTCCTGATCCTATAGGTAACTTGTTTATATATAGTCGTTTGTATGTTGACCCTCCATTATTGTAAACTCCTCCAATGCAGAGACCTTTTTGGCCTTTCTTTGTATGACCAGCACTTAGTCCAGAGCCAGGTGCATAGCAGGCACTTAATAAATGCTTACTGATGGATCTAACTCTCTGTACCCCGAGGCAACTTGTAAAGACTTAAATTGTAGAGCCAGTAACTACCTGCAAAGGTAAAAGAACTTTCCTCAAGGAAATTCCCCTAAACCAATGAAGTCAGGATCCCTCTCCACTACTCTTCCCAACAAGCACCAAGGAACAGTTAAAACCAAAGTGATTTTCCGAAAGTACAGATCTGACCACATCATTCACCTATTCAATCAACCTCTAAAAAAAACTTAACTCTGTTCATCATTTAAAACTCTTTACAACCTGACTCCAATTTTGGAATCTGGTTTCCTTCAAGTCTTAGTTCAAGCCCAGCCTTCTACATGAAGCCTTTCCTACTTCCCCATCCCCTACGCGTACCCCCATAGCTAATGGTTTCCCCAACAAGTCACCTGATCAATTTGTATCTATTCTGTTTCTATTTCATATACATGTCACCCAGGCTAGACCCTAAGCTTGAGGTCAAGGATGGTTTCACCTTTGCCTTTGTATCCCTAGTACCTAGCATAGTGCCTGGCACTTTGTAGGTGCTTAAATAATGCTTACAGACTGATTATATTGTTTTTAGTAATCAGTGACTTTTCAATTTAAAACTTGCACAATGCCTATGGATTAATGTTATTCCAGGAGTCCCTGTACATTTTCAGTCCAACATTCAGTCCTTTTATCAAGGTCTCTGAATGAAAAATGTATTGATGCAGTTGATAACTGATGCTCTTCCCAAAAGCCTCTCAGGAGATAAAAGGAAAAAAAAGCATTAAACTTTCATAAAGAAGAAAAAAGGATGAAAAATGAGATTTAAGATATGTGTGCTCCAAATGAACATCTTCAACACAACTTAATGCAATTTTCTATTTGATGGGATGAATTATTGATGCTGTCTAGTATGACATCAACAGAAACAGCACATTCCTGACCTCGACAGTTTTGGCTAATGAACCAAAAGCCCAAATAGATTATACAATTCAACTATCCTTTCAGGTTCTCTGAAAGCATGCACAATTGGTAATGAATCCACAGTTTATTTACATTTGTTAAGGAAAACAAAAGTAAAGCAGCAATATTATTCCAAGGAAATGAATAGAAATTGCTAACTTGGGGCAAGTAAAGAGCTCTGGGAAATAAATGTGGCAGAGACTAGAACTCTATGCCTGATTATAAGGAGAGGGAGACAACCTACTTTATTTAGTGCTAGGACTACTACAGTAGGCTCCCAAACCAGATAGTTTGACCAAGTGCTGGTTTAGTATTGATCCACAGTGAATTATTTGAACACGAATATGAATTAAACTAACTTGTTTGTCTGTTGCCACATCATAACAACAACAACAACAACAACAACATGGTTTTAGCAGAATCACTGCCCAAAAAAAAGCTATTAAAATTTAAAAACTAATTTTAAAATACCAGGCTGTCCCCCATGCCTGGAATGCACTCCCCCTTTGCCTCCCTTTCTCAGAATCCCTAATTTTCTTCAAGCCTAATAAATTCAAGTGCCATCTTCCACACTATGCCTTTCCTGATCCCCGAAGTGATTAGTGCCTTCTCCCCAAAATCACCTTCTTTTTTGCATATACCTATAAGTACACGTATATGTATGTCTTCCTCATCTAGACCGAAAGCTCCTGTTTTCACTTTTATCTTTGTAATCCCAAAGCCTATGTGCCTGACTCACTGCAGGCACTGAATAAATGCTTGTGAATTTAACACAGATCTAGTGCAATCGCCCAGGGTAGTTTCCAATGTCATTTTCTCAGACCTTTAAAGGCCACCACATATTAAACAAATGACTGATTAGACTCGAGAGCTTAAGTAGATCCGACTTCCCTTCCTTCCCAACAGGTTATTATGTACAATCCAAACAGGCTCACTTGAGCTACGCTGGTGAGACTAGATAAAACAGAGGAAGAGCAGAACTAGGAATGCAATTCCAGTGATCAGAGTTCTAAGAAACACTCTGCTTGTATTTGCCATTAGATTTTAAGCAGAGTAAGGAACAGGATAAGAAGGCAAGAGATAGTAAGTCCTTCCTTACACAATGGTTAAAACAAACACTCCGCGGCTAGTCAGAAGTTCCGGGAGAATTTAGTCCAGCATTTGTAGTTTCTATAAAGGCCTGAAAGAATGGGTGGTGAGGCGCCCGGAGAAGGAGGGGATAGCGAGGAGGGAGAGCTGGGGGAGCGGAGAGGGTCGGGGGAGAGCGGAGAGGGTGGGGGGGAGGAGAGAGAGAAGGAGGAGGAGGAGAGAGAACAGTGGGAGAGGGGAGCTATAAGTGGGGGAAGGGGAGGGGAGAGGAGCAGACGGAGAGCCGAGGAAGAAGGTGGAGATAGAAGGGGAGGGTGTGGAGAGATAAGAGAGGGAGAGGAGGTAGAGAGAGAAGAGCAGAATAAGGCAATAGAGAGGGGAGAGTAAAAGCGGGAAGAGAGAATGGAAAGGGGGAGAAGGTGGAAAAGAATTGGAGAAAAGGTGGGGATCGAGGAGAGAAGGAGAAGTAGGAAGAGAAGAGGTGCCGGAGGAGAGAAGATGGGAAGCAGGGAAAACAGAAGGCAAAGGAGAGAGAACAGGGAGAAAAGAAGGGGAGAGAAAAAAAAGAGAAAAGAGGGAGAGCGGAGAGAAATGAGGGGGAAAAGGAGGGGAGAGGGCAAGGAACTAGGGGAGAAGAGGGGGACACGGGAAGAGGAGGGGGAGAGAGAAGGGAACAGGAGGAGAGGGGTGAGAAAGTCAGGGGAGAGCAGGGAAGGAGAGCGCATGTCTCGCAGCCCACCGGGCGCACCTGGGCGCCCCGCCCGCAGCCGCCCTCACCTTCCCGGGCTTTGAGAAGCACCGTGTTGGCCACGATGTTCTCAATCTCCATGATCAGCCTCTGCCGCCGCCGCCGCCGCCGCTGGGGAGGAGCCGCAGCCTCCGAGGCGCATCTCTCTCCCGGTGCCGGCGCCAGTCCCGGAGCGAGGCACTCCCACCGCGACCCCGGGGAGACGCGTCTCCGCCACCGCCCCCGGCCCGCCCCCGGCGCTAGAGGGTGTAGGGGGAAGCCGGTGCCTGCCGCTGCCGCCCGCGGGCAGGAGAGGGGGAACCGCCGCCGCCGCCGGCCGGCCGGCCGAGGGGCCGGGGCCGAAGGAAGGGAGGAGCTCGGCGGGTGCGGGTCACGGCTTCCTCGCCTTCGCGGCTGCAAACGCCGTCGCCGCTGCCGCCTCCCCGGCTCTCCTCAGCCCCATAGTCCAAGCGGGCCCGTTCCCGGGCCCCGTCAAGTTCCAAATGCCTGACCCATCGTGGCCGCCTCCTTCTCTCCCCCCCGGGGGAGGAGCCCAGGAGGCTGAGGCACCGCCTACTCCGCCCCCGCGGCCTCGTAGGCCCTCCCCGGCTCTGTTCCTCCTCCACCGCTCCTCCTCCGCGAGCGTCCAAAGGCTTCCCTCCGCTAGGGGGACCCCAAGCGCTGGGTCCGCCCACCCTGCGGCCTGTAGACTCGCCAGCATGCGCGCGCTGGAGACTACAACTACCCGAGGGCTACACGGTAGCTGGAATAGGGAGATTCACGGGGAGTGTCCCGGAAGTAAATTGCTGAGCCTTCTGGGAATTGTGGTCCCGTAGAGGGACCGCAGTTGACCCCAACTGGACTCAAGGGAGGATTGCATGCTGGGATTTGTAGGTTCCTAATAGACCTTCGCGAGATCTGGGAAGGAGGAAGGTTCAGTTGTCGCGAGAGTTAGTCGTCAGTCGTCAGGTGGCGTGGCTGCGCACGTTGTTGCCTCGGTGCCGGGTCTGTCTCAGCTTCCCTCCTTTGTTGCCGGGATATCGCCGAGTCCGCTGGCTCTGTGGGAAGCCTGTGCGTGCACTATGGGCAAAGCCAGGGGCAAGGCCCTGGGGAGTCGGGCCGGAGGCCGGAAGGCCAAGCCCCCCGCCAACCCCAACCCCTTCGAGGTCAAGATCAACCGGCAGAAGTTCCAGATCCTGGGAAGGAAAACGCGCCACGACGTGGGCCTGCCGGGGATATCCAGAGCCAAGGCCATCAAGAAGGTGAGGGCCCTGTCCGGGAAGCCCAGGGATGGGGCCGGGATCAAGCTCCGTGGAATTGCGAGTTGGGAGGGAGGGGCCTTGGCCGCCCATCTTCGTGTTGAAAATTCCCGGGGTCCCTCCAGGCCCACGAAGCTTAATAGCATCGCTGATAACCAGGGTGCCTCCCGTCCCAAGGACACCTGGGTGGGCTCTCGGCAGGACACCGGGTCAGGCCTTTCTGATCTCATTTTCCAGCCTGTTCTCACTGTTACCCTTTGACTTGACACTAGTCTGTGCACTGGTTCCCGTCCTTGCCCTGCTCTCCTTCATTTACCTACCTACCCCCCGTGCCTGGAATGAACAGCCCGCCCCCCACGTCCAAATAGATCTCCCGACTCAGATTTCTCTTTGAACTTTAGCCGCCCGTTTCCTTTGGACTGATCTCATTTTCCTCATTGTTGTTGGATTTTAAGTTATTTGAAAGCAGCTTCAGTGCCATCGAATAATAGTAATAATATTAACTAGCATCTACATAGTTCTTGCAGTGTGCCAGGCAGGTGCCAGGTGTTATTATTATCTCTTTTTTTTTAGTTGTGTAAACTGAGGCGTTTGCCCAACAGTGAGCCGTCTAGCTGCCTCTGTATTCTAGCATGCTTTATGTTCTTAGTGCTTAAGTTAGGTGCTAAATAGGATGAGACTGGGTATGTAATTTTATTGGTGAAGAGAACTGAACTCCTAGGTGATGAAACTCCCTCCCTCCAATGCAGGTTTGCATCTTTTTTGCTACAGTCTTAAAAGAGTTGTTTATAGCACTGAAGTTACATAACTTGCCCAGGGTCACACAGATCTGAGGCCCAAGAGGGTCATTCTTGAGATTATACAGAAAGGCCTGACACCTTAGAGAGCCCTTTTCCCTCTGGACATATTTTATCCAGAGTTGTTGCCTAACCTATTCATCACAGCTCAGCAAACATTTATTCTGGGGTCTGCTGTGTGTGGGGATTATGGTGCTAAGGTTATATATAAGAAAAAGATCCCCCCTGGGAGCTAACTTTGATAAAATGGAAATAGCTCTGAGATGGAGTCCTGACTACCTAAACGATGTGACTTAAGGTGAGTCGCTACTCTCAGCCCTAGATGCCAGTACCTACATTAGCTATCTCATGGGCTTAAGGCTCAAGTAAGATAGTAGCTATAAAACCTTGTGTAGGCTGTTGTTATTGGGAGGGGAGAATGAAGATGGGTAAACAGCTGACTAGAATGTATCTCAAAATTTTTAAGGGGATAGGAGAACACAGTGACCTGAGAGATTCAAGGAGGGACAGGGATTACTTCTAGTTGGTGGAATCAAGGAAAGGATGCTAACTTTAACTCTTATTCCTTTGGACGGTGTTCTTAATTCTTCAAAAGCCATTTCTTATGATGACAATGATAATAATAATTAGTAACTACTAATATTCACATAGAGCTTACTGTGTGCCGCTCTTTGCTAGGTGTTTTACAGTCATCTCATTTGATCCTCACAACAACCCTGAGAGGTAGGTGCTATTCTTATCCCCATTTTAGAGATGAGGAAGCTGAGGCAAACGGGTTGACTTGCCCAGGGTCACATAGCTAGTAAACTTTTGAGGTGATATTTGAACTTAGATCTTCTTGACTCCAGGACCAGTGCACTATGCAGTGTCCCCTAGTTAGCCCTTCACTGCTACTCAACAGACTTTTATATTTATCTCTTTTTGATTCTTTAACTCATTCCCCACAATTACTATTTCAAATCTTGCCCTCTTTCTTCAGGCCCCCAATTCTAGTCTTATCCTCTAAATTCCTGGAACACTTCACTTCCTATTTACTAAAATTTCACTTTAGACTGTGAGTTCCTTGAGAGCAGGAACTAATCTCTTGCCTTTCTTTGTATCCACAGCTATTACAGTGCCTGGCACATTGTAGATGCTTAATAAACGTTTTTTAACTGAGATTGATCCAAGGTATCTTCAGTCTGATAAACAACTGATTTGTAAGCTCCTTCTACTGGTACGGTAGAAAAGGTTCTGGCTTTGGAATTAAGAAGACAAGAGTCCTAGTCTGCCTCTGTCACTGTAATCTGTGTGACCTTGGGCAAGTCACTAAACCATTGTAGGTCTCAGTTTCCTCATCTGTAAAATGAAGAGGGTGGACCAGATGGCCTCTAAGGTCTCTTCCAGCTCTAAATCTATGATCCCGTGTCAGAGCTTTTTATTGACTATACTCATCATTTTCTCTTTGCTTCCAGTTTCAGAGAAATTCCATAATTAACTCTGCTACTTCTGTGGTGTCATTTCTTCAGTTTTTCCTTTTCCATATGGGTGGGATGTCATAGATTTAGGGTTGCAAAGGACCTTTGAAATCATTTGATAAACCACTTCATATTATGCTTATTCATTTCAATTTATCCTCCTCTACCAGCTCCTTTTCCTCTATCTACAAACATGGCCAAGTTTCTCCATCCTAAAACAAAAGAAAAAACTTCCTTCAACCTTTTTAATCCTCAAAATACTGTCCTTTCTTCTGTTCCTTCAGAAATTTGTAAATTCAATGCCTCACCCTTATTACCCATTCACACTTTAGCTCCTTGTAGTCTTGCTTCTGTCCTTGCCACTTCTAAAGTTACTCTTTCATTGGTCACTGTTGATCTCCTGATCAGCAGATTAGTATGAATCTTCCTCAAGCATAGAACTAATGATGCAAAAACCCTGCTCAAAATCCTTCAAAGCTTATTATAGACCAAAAAATACTAAGACTTCATAGCTACCGTGTATGGGTAGAATTTGTACCTGAGTTTGGGTTAAGTTCAACACACTTCATAGACCATTTAGCTTCTTTAAATAAAAGACTACCTTTTCTTCAATGTTTAATTAACTTGGACTTGAATCCAGGTCTTTTGACTACAGGCCAAGTGTCTTTTCAATACATAACTATTTGTTTTCTCCTTTTAAAAATAAAGTAGAAGATCTTTGGAGAAGGGTAGAATTTACGACCAAATGGGAGATAGAGAACATTATGAAATAAAAAATGAACAATTTTGATGACATTAAACTGAAAAGTTTTTGCACAAATAAAGCCAATGCATCCAAGATCAGGAGGGAAGCAGAAAACTGGGAAAGAATTTTTACAACCAGTGTCTGATAAAGGCCTCATTTCTAAAATGTATAGAGAACTAAGTCAAATTTATAAGAATACAAGTCATTCCCCAATTGAGAAATGGTCAAAGGATATGAACAGGCAGTTCTCAGAGGAAGAAACTAAAGCTATCTATAGTCCTATGAAAAAATGTTCTAAATCACTATTGATTAGAGAAGTGCAAATCCAAACGACTCTGAGGTACCACATCACACCTATCAGATTGGTTAACATGACAAAACAGGACAATGATAAATGTTGGAGAAGATGTGGGAAAATTGGAACACTGATACATTGTTGGTGGAGTTGTGAAATGATCCCACCATTTTGGAGAGCAGTTTGGGGCTATGCCCAGAGGGCTATAAAATTGTGCATACCCTTTAACCCAGCAATACCACTTATAGATCTGTATCTCAAAGAGATTATGAAAATGGAGAAAGGACCCACATGTACAAAAATATTTGTACCAGCTCATTTTCTGGTGGAAAGAATTGGAAATTGAGGGGATGCTCATCAATTGGGTAATGGCTGAATAAGTTGTAGTATATGAATGTAATGGAATACTGTTGTGCTATAAGAAATGATAAGAGGGGGTGGACTTCAGAAAAACCTGGAAAGACTTACATGAACTGATGCAGAGTGAAATGAGCAGAATTAGGAAAACATTGTACATGGTAACAGCCACATTATAGGATGACTGACTTTGATAGACTTGGCTCTTCACAGCAATGAAAGAATCTAAGACAACTCCAAAAGATGGGAATTGCTGTCCATACCCAGAGAAAGAAATATGGAGTCTGAAGGCAAATGGAAGCTTACTATTTGCTCTCCTTTTTCTTTGTTGTTTTGTTTTATTGCTTTATTCTCATGGTTTTTCCCATTAGTTCTAATTGTTCTTTACATCATGACTAATGGGAAAATATGGTTAACATGAATGTATATGTAGAGCCTGTATCAGATTGTATGCTGTCTGAGGGTGGGGGTGCGGGTGGAGTTGAGAAATGGGAGGAGAAAATTTAAAACTCAAAAGCTTATGGAAGTGAATGTTGAAAACTAAAAATAAATTAGTTAATTAAAAAATCGCAATAAAAAATTAAAATAAAGTAGGTGTCCTAGAGACAAGGAACTGATCCAGTCCGGCTTGGAGGTCCCTTTCATTCCCAGGCAGAAGAACAGATATAAGTGCAGAGACCTTACTTACAGTATCAGTGGGAGGGCAGAACAATAATACACATTTAAATGTAGTAATGTGGTCCCAGAAATCTGAGGCTTTCAAACAATCTCCCTATTAGATGATAATTCTGTGGGTAATTAGGCTCAATTAAGTGGGCAACTATTAGACATAAATCTCCACGGTTTTTTTGCTTGGCTTTCTCTTGTTTTCCCACTCTCTGGTTAACTGTAATTGAATACATATTTGAACTGATTGTTATATTTTTATCATCAGCAGCTAGCTACTCACACCCTTATATGTGGTATACTTTCCCCTATTCATACTGTTTTGTACCTGAAATACCCTCCCTTCCAAGTGTTGAAATACTGCTTATTCTTAAAGACTCAGGTCAAATGATAGCTTCTCCATAAAGTCTTCCTTGTGGTTAGAACAAGTCTTTGCCTCATCAGATTTCACACAGTACTTTGTACTACTTTTGCATGTATATGATATAGTAATTGTATGTGTAGTTGTATATGCTTTCTTTTCCTGCCAGATTGTAAGCTTGGTAAGGGTGGAGAAATGGCTTACTTCACATTACTCTGCCCCTAGAAGGTGCTTCACAAACATTGGATTGAGTTGTTGAAAATGATCTCATAGAAAGTACTGCAGACAGAGCTGATTTCTTTAAAGGAAACAGAACTAACAGTTG